TGTTTTTAAAGTCGTTTTTATATTGTATTAATGAAATGCACTCCCATGAAAAGCACAGATTTGAACTGGCAGCTTGTGCAGAACAGCTGTCAATTGAGCTGAAACAATGCACTATGCCAACTTCTGATGTGCACATTATTACATGAATACAAAGACGTCATCCCGAACAAGATGGGCAGGTTATAGTTGTCAAGCAAATATGCAAATCAAGACAATAGCCCTTCGTGTTGTGGCTTGTCTTTGAATTTGCAGAGTTATTGTTCCTTTGCAGCTGCGGTATTTGCATAATCAACTCTTAGTCCGAACCATTGTGTACTTCCCCTCAATTTGCTGCAGTGTTTTCGATGCAGTTGGCATTGTGCCCTAAACAGCATTGTCCCTTTTTTCCTTAGTGTGCATCAGCTGCATGCAGGGCTACATATGAATCATTGTGCTACAGGACAAGCGTTTAATTTTTTTACAGGTTCACTACTGCCTTCAGGTCACAAATCATTGGTCTCTGTTTACATTTCGCCAACATGTCTCTGCATTGTATTGTTTTTACATTGCCATAAAGAACAGTAAACACTGACAGATTTTATAAACCATAAACTTGAGTCTTTATTTGTTTCTGTGGAGATGAAGATTTTTTTTTATCAGCAACTAAAAAATAAATAGCATTTTAAATGCGATATTAGAAAAATAAAAATAAAAAACAGATACATGAATCAGAATTCACAATAAAAACAAATCTGGGAACAAAAAATATTTTTTAATATACACAACTAAATTAGATGAGAAAATATGAAAATTGGTCTGTAATTAAGGCATGAAGCATCACAAAACAATTTTTAAGTTCTTATTTTTTATCAGTGATAAACTTTCTGTCAACTAAAATGTTCCTTTAAACCTCTTTTGAATAAAGAAATTGAGCTTGCTTGCAAGTCTGACAGTTTTTGCAAGAAACAGTATATTATCACCATCAATTATGAAATTATTTATAAAGAATGTAATTGAAGCCTAATGCAGAAAAAAGTTAGTTCGTCGATTAATATGACTGTAATTTCAATGTTGGTCTGTTGATGGCGGCAGAGGTCTAAAGTTTTACAGACCGAAAAGTTGTGTGTGTGTGCGTGTGTGTTTTGTCTGCTGTGCTGTTTTTGGACACAGATATTATAAATGTAATCTTCATCTGCAAATATTGAAAGGTCACTGTGTGGAGGATGTTGCCTCTTTGGAATATTTTCTCCAGACGACCTCAGGTGTCGTCAGCGATCTTCCTTCATCCTTCAGAACTGCCAAGCTGCCAAAAAACTACAAACTGGTCCATTCCTTTTTGCTTTTCATCATTTCACCTTGTTTTTCCTCCTCCTCTGAAGATTTTCACACTCATGATGGCGAAGGCCTCATCCGTCATCTCACATCCACCTCCTCCTCTCTCCCATCTGCGTCTGAGGCCAGCAGCGCTGAAGGACACAGGGAATCTCTCACCACCTCCGAGAAGAGGCTAATCCTCTTTGCCCCAACTTTAACTGGGCCACTAATCCTGCAGGTTTATCTAAGCAGCGAGCACCTAGCACTGCTGACAACTTGGCCTGCCCTCCTCCCTTCACCCCGTTAAGTAGGGCAGGGCTCGGTCCTGCGAGTGTCACTGTCAGCAACTCTGGAACCACACGCTTGCACAGGAAGTGTGAGCTGTTAACAAAATGGCTCGCCTGCTTGCAGCAGGCGTCTGCTGGCTGCCACAAAAGTGTCTCAACGAACCAAGTGACAGCCAGACGGGACTGTGTTGTAACGGCCCTGGTTTGGTAATCGCACAGAAGGGAAAGTTTACTCCCTCAGCCAGGAGGTCTGATGGTGACTAACTAGCTTAGGTTTTGGAAGGACAAATTGTTCAGCTATTGTTCAGCCAGTTAGGCTTTAAGATGTTTAGGCTGACTGGTCTAATGAGGACACAAGACTGGACTCATGCTAAATCCCTCTTCTTTTGACTCAACGACACTTCAGACTGATGGACAGGCTCACATCTTCTGAAACAGAGCAGAAACATCATACTGTTCACTGTGTACAATCATTTAAACCAACTTGACAGTGCCTGGCAAAAGTGTTGAGACATTTTGAACTTTCACATCTAGTCACAGTACAACCACAAACCTTTCATTGGAGACGTTTTAAGTAGACAAACAAAAAGAATGCATGGCTGTGAAGTGGAAGGTAAAGTGTTCATCTGAGTCAATACTTTGTAGACGCACCTTTCACAGTAATTTCGTCAGAGTCTGTTAGGCTGTGTCTATCAGATTTGTACACCTACTGAAACAGAAATAGAAATTTGTACACCTACTGAAACACTTAGTTGTTCTTTGCAAAACAACTAAGTGTGGTCAAACTGGAAATAGAGCCTGTGAACATCAAGTAAAGTCTTACAGCAGACTCTCAGTTCTTACTCTGAATTGAATATTCTAACAAGTGAATAACACGTTTTTTTTTTCTTCTTTTTCTCCTGTAGTGGCTCGTATTTAGGTCCATCCATCTTCCCATCAGCAACCAGCTTCCTATCCATCTTTCAGAGAAGCATTCACATATTATAGTGCTGCCACTATTAAGGTGGGGATGGTAGGTTGAAGGTCTTAGTTTCCACTGTTTAAGAAGCTAAAGTTTTCAGATTTCTCATCTGACCAGAGCACCTTCTTCTACATTTTGCTGTTTTACCTGTATAGATTATTTTGTGTCAAATCGCAGACAGGATATCTCATGTTTTTCAACAGTCTTGCCACTCTTTCATAAATGCTCAAATGAGAGCAGAGCTTTTTGGAGCTATTGCTCAGACAGTCAACATGTCTGTGTTGCTGCTTTACCCACAGTCTGTCTTACATGCTGAAAAGTATCTCTTAATAATTTGGCTGGTCTAATGAAATAATGTACTCAACACTTCACTCCCTGCTTCCTTCCTGCATGCTGTTTTTGCTGCTGGCAGCTTCTGCCTGGTTCTCTTCAGCCCCTCTAAAACCCTCAGCACCCCGCTTAGGCCTCAAGGTCAGAGACCTTCTCCTCAGCTCCTGACATGCATAAGACATATTCAGAGTGCAAAGATGCACTCACTACTCCATAACTTGTTGACCGCATCGCCACAGAGTAATGAGAATGGATCCTGGACGACAAACTCAAAATCATCATAAATTGGCTCATAAATATGCATGAAAAAATTGGAACGAGTTTCCTGACTGTACTTTTTCTTGGTCTATCACATAAACATACGTAACATATAAATGTTGAAAATTTTAGGAGGTATTGACCTCGTTCAAGACACTGCATGTGTATAAAAATGACATCTAGTCTCTGCAGATAAACAAACGATCCCCCTTCTCCTGACTTTCTTCTTTAATTCTTCCCGACAAAATATTTCTGCCAAGAAGAGTGACATTTCTAAATAGAATGAGCAATCACTGGAAGCACTGGGAGATGAAGAGCCAGAGACATATTGGTCAGGTGGCGTGTGAGATGACCTTTCAGTCCATATGAGATGAAATGAGGCCAGTGAACCCGAAATGATTCAGAGTGTCTAAACTGACAGGCGAGGGCACGGCCGTGGCAGGGCTTCAGCTCGGCTACGCCAGCCTCGGTGGGCGTCTCTTGTGATTTATTGTGAAATTGCCAAGGACTCAATGTGGCATGCAGGTGAATGAGTTTTGCTAATAAGAGAAGCATTTCTGCTCCACAGAGCTCTTTTTCTGTGTGAGCGAGTGTGTGTGAAATCAGTGCACGGTGTCTCCCAGTACCACCGCATGCTCTGGTGGAGGCGGCTGCCTCATCAGTCTGGGGATTATCTGGTGTTTTTGGTGGGCAGAGAGACTAGGAGAGAGAACAGGAAGGGTCTCTGCTGAGTTCTTGAGGATATCTGTGCTGAAAAACACAGACATTAGCAATGCGATTACAGAAAATGAAAAAAAGACTCATTATGCATTTAATTTAAACATCAAGCAAACATGTTCATTTTATAGCAATAAGACTTGATGTGATAAACTGAAAGAAAGTAGTGTATAACAGCAAAACAGAAGAATATGCATTCTGCCACTTCTTCACTCTGTTACCCTAAATAAAATCCAGTGTTGCCAGTTGTTTTAGTGCCACAGCCAAAACGTAAAAGCTTGTTTGCAGTTCGGGACACAGCAAACAGAGATGCTTTTCTTGAACATGGGCAAGGAAACAGGAGTCGTTGGGTCGGTGAATGGAGCGACATAAAGATCATGAAGTAAAACTATTTGAGGCTTTAAAAGACTTGAGAATAGAGTTTGATGTTTAACTTCCAGCAGGACGACCATAAACATTGAGCCAGAATTACAGTAGAACGGTTTAATCAAAGCATAAACCACAGCAAGAAGAGGTTGAAAAATGTATTGACTCTCATTGTGCTGAACACATTTGGAAGCCACAACTTTACTATTTTTATTAATGTAGATTTTTATAAAAAGTTAATTTGTAGATGTTGCACCCTGTTCCCTCCTTGTCACCATTATAGACTACTTTGTGTTGGTCTTAAACATTGATCCCACTGGAGTTTGTAGTTGCCAAGTGATAAAATGCGAAAACAGATCAAGACGTATGAATTCCTTTGCAAAGCTTTGTGTTGCAAAATATCTAGAACAGCAAGCTGCAGTTTGAGCTCCCATTGCTGAGGTATCGGGTTTGAAAAATAGGATACTGCACCTGTTGTTTCTGGAGTATTTGCCTCTTCTTGCCCACATATGTAAATTGCATTCTTAGTAACCCAACTTCCTTTTTCCTCTGCCTCCAAAGCACAACCCAGAAAATAAAACCATTTCTGTCCCTCGTTTTTCTGCCTGTGTTTTCCTGAGGTGAGGTTGTTACGGCTGTAAAGGTGGAGGAGGTCAAGTGAACAACAAGATTGTCGAGGTGGGCATATGGCGGTGAAGTGCAGAGGCAATCCTCAGACTAATGTGCTTACCTTCATTTATCGTTCCTGTGCCTTGAGATGTGAATAAAAGAAAGAAAGAAGACGGACGTAGAAGTCATCTGCTTTATTTCCTTATGTCAAACATTGTACATAAGAGAGGAAAGGTCAAATGAAAAACAGCCAATCTACATTAAAGTAAAGAAACTCCAGTCCTGAGATTGACAAAAAGCAGGGAGCAGAGAAAATGTCTCCTGTGATGGTTGAGATGGAGGAGTGACTGTGGCAGTTTCAGCAAATTGAAGATGATGGTTGCAGATCTGGAGAGGGTAAGCCGTCACTGCGATGCTTGGCTGTAGGCACATTCAAAAGCTGAAAACCCCCGCGACTAAAGGATTTTACAGCTTTTCTTTTTATATTCAGACTTCTTTTTCGAAATCTAAGACTCGTATATCATTATTGTTTGAAAAGAAGAAAGAAGCATTGTACTCTTTACATTTTTTTTCATCCTGAGGAGACAAAACCATTTTTTTTTAAAACACAGTACTGCAGGGAAAACAATAAGAGAGATGCTTTATAGATTTCCCATTTCCATATATATTATTTTCTCAAGGTTGCGGCACCCTCGTACTTTGGCAGCGTTGGTGCACTTGAGATCATCTGGGAAAAAAGACGGAAACACAGAAACTGCCTCACAAACTGTAAAAAGAATCCAAAGAGAGAGAAAGACAAAAGAAGGCAAAATCCTCAGACTTTTTGCGTTTAGATTGGATTCAGTAACAGACCGGCTGTGCAGACCAGATGAATATGTGGAGGTCATAAGCTTTTTCATTTAAACATAGACAGAAATAAAACGGGTGAAAACACCCTGCTGTGAAGTTGTGGTTTTAGGGGAGAAAAAAATTCAGCTTTGTGTGTTAAGTTTTTTTCTTTTTCTTTTTTTTTTTTTTTTTTTGCCCGTTGGCACAGTTTATAACAATTATATTTAACATCTGTTGTGTTCACATCTGTCCAAAGAATGGCTCGTAGCAGACTCTAACTTATAAGAGACATTACAATGGGGTGCACAATGAAAACACAGATATTTTAAAAAATGTATGACATGATCTCATCCAGTACTGTTTGATTATAACAGCTATAATATTTTAATCATTTAATTATTGCACATTTGAAGTGGATCCCTAAAGAAAAGCAAAAATATTTTTTTTTAAGTGCTTAACATGCAGAATATCATCAAATTACCATTTTGACCTAATTTTCTAAGTCTAAACAGTTTGTGATATACATTTTTAATCAGCACTTTTAGATACATTTTCTTCTTCTTCTTCTTATTATTGTTATTGTCTTTTGATTGTTGTTAAACAATTTAGTGAAACTGTACAATTAACAGCAGAACAAAAATTCACAGGTATCTGAGCAGTTTTACATGCTACCTGATTTTAAATTTAGAAATTTAGATTTGCTGTCTTCATCGTCAGACAGAAAGATGCCACTTGCACCGATCGAAGTAAAGTCCTGCCTGCATGCACTCTCGGAAGAGCTGAGACGAAGCAGCTGAAGGTCTGTCTCTCAGAGGCGATTCGCTCACGCCTGACACATCCATAGTTAGCTGCTTGGATAGCAAGTCTGTAGTTTACAAGCAAATCTTAGCATTTGCTGTTTATAGTCAGTGTTAAATTACAAAGAATGATGGGCAGAGAGCGTTTAATTTCACTTTTGTTTTTTGAAAGAAAAATTTCCTAAGAGTCTATTTTTTTTTCTCTTGATCAAGGAAAAGTGTAAAACCCTCTTTCAGCCAGATGACAGACAATGTGCAGAAACACGTGTGGGAGGGGCAGGTTTTTCTCCATTGAGCCTGAGAAAAAAAAAGTCACTTTTTCTGTTGGCAGTAAAGTGGTATCTGTTTTAAAACTATAGGAACTTCACTGTAGCTTCTGAAAACCTTGGCGCCACTAACAAGCCCATGCCTTCACATTTTTAACCTCAGAGATTTGTGAAGAAAAACAACACATCTTCAAAGACACATAGTGCAACACAGCTTTTGCTGGTGGTTTAGAGACACAATTCTCTCCAGGACTGTGTGAATTATTGATGGAAGTGTTTTCCTGCCAGGTATGAGGGAAACAGAGAGGACTGGTGTCATAAATTCATCCAACCTCAGATCCTAAGGAGGATCGAAGACAAGAGCCCCGATTGAGGAGGGACATGACTGGAGTGGACCTTCACCACACCCGTCGTGTGGAGGTTGGAGAAGCGCCGCCAACACTCCACAGGGCAAGCAGCTGCCTTTTTTTCTCCTCCACCACCACCCCCCTCGTTCCGAGAGCAAAAGAGCTGAGCCTGCTTCCCCCTTTCCTTCTCAGCAGTATTTAAGGTGCATAATATGCGACTATAAACCTTTACACAGGGCAAAGGTCTTAATGAACTTATTGGGATTTACTAAGGAATTTTTACAGCCAGCATAAGTCACTTTTCCGACACTTTGCCCTCCAACCATCCTCCATGAGCCTCTCATTGCCCTTGAAAACATGTTAGCAGTCAATAGCTTTCTGTAGCCTCAGAGATAAGCTATAGATTTAAATGTCCTCGATCAGAAGGCGGTGCTGCTGTGATTAATCATTTGCAGAACGAGATGAGTTGAAATGTTTCTCTGGTTAGTGAAAATAGAGGATTTCTCTCTGCAGAAAACCGAGACACATTAAGTCTCCAGTCAAAGATTTGAAGGAACATGTCAATTATCCTGATTACTAATGCTTTGAGGCTTTTCTGAGTCAAAAATTACCCGCATCCTTCATTTTTTTTCTTTTTATTCATTCCTTCTTTTCTCTGTCAGATTGCACAGGGCCCCTCAGTCAAGCAGGGAGCGAGAATGTATAATCCAACAGAAAACAAATCCCCCTCCATCAATTGCAGCCCGGCTTTTAAAACAAGCCTGGGCGCCATGGTGCGGCACTCAGGCCCTCAGAGATGCTGTGGCGTCTGTGATATAGCAACACCACCCGCCTCCCTCCCAACCACCACCTCCACCACTCAGACCCTGCTGTCCTCCCCTCCGACGCCAGCCAGACAGCCAGTCCTAACCTTCAGTTTGTTTAAGCGCCGCTGAACCCTGTTGGCCCTGGATGGAGGGGGGAGGTAGAGGAAGGGTGTGCTTTAGATAATGACCTGCCATATGCCACTCTGCCTCTGCAGCTGAGTGAGCCGTGGCTGGATCAGCCCAGGCACAAATCTATTTGAAATTTAATTCTATTATCCTAATATGAGCTGAGCGTTCCATTGTCCGAATGAGGAACAGAGGAGTGGAGCAGAGTTGCAGGGCTAAGATGCGTGCCTTCAACAGGGGCTCATTAATGTGTGTGAAGGAGCAGAGGGACAGACAGTTGGGAGCCTGCGCTTCAAGAAGAAGTGATCGGGGTGCATGCTGGACCAGCCTGGGTTGCATAAAAATGATTTGAAACTCTCATTTGTGCAGCCATTTTTGTTATGTTTTGCCAGAGCCTTTGAACTTTTCACGTCTCAGTCCCGCTACAACGCAAACCCCAATGTCTTTTAGACAATAAAGAAACACAAAGCAGCGGATAACTGGAAGAAAAATGCTACGTGTTTATCTTTTAAATACAATTCACAAAAGTGTGGTGTGTCTTTTGTATTTAGTTTCTTTTACTTCGATACCTCTAAGTAAAATCCAGTGCACATCATTAGGCGCACTGCAGATATGTGGAAGGATTTCAACTGTTTGTCCTCATGCACACTTGGTTGCTAAAAACTAAGACTGCACATCACCCTGGACACACCATTCCCAGGGTGAAACATGGTGGCAACAGCATGTTGTGGGGATGTATTTCTTCAGGGAAGCTTTGTATAGTTTGGGGGGAAGATGGAAAAAGACACAACAAGGTCTGTTAGAGATGGCAAATGTTTAGAGATCGAGGCTCACATCCCTGCATGACAACAATCCTAAACACACGGCCGACGCAAGTGGGTATGATCACAGGACTTCAATGTTCCCAGTCAAAGTCCAGACCAAAATCAATTTGCAAATATGCAGAAAGATTTGAATTTACAGAGGACCTGTGCAAAGCCTGGAGTATAAGTCTCCACACAGGGCTGACTCAGCTCTGAATGAGAATACACGACACACTTCTTAGAATTTCATTTATGCAAAACGTTGAAATCAAACCTTTTCTTTTCTCTTCACAACTGTGCACTAATTTGTGTCTATCGCACAAAACCTCCTAAAGTTTATGTTGTAATGTGGAAAGAAGTGAGTCAGTGATCTGATCTGCGTCTCTCTTCTGAAATCCCTTGTGATGGGTTTGATTTCGGTCGACTTTTTTGGATTAACAATCTTGAACAGCAATGTCCAGCAGCCAAGATGTCACCTAATGTTTCCATTGGCTGAGGAGGCCTGGTGCCTCAGATCTCCACCGGTGGAGGGGGATGGGAGAGACGCAGATGCTAGAAACTCCACTGCCTCAAAACATCTCCCTTTCCACCGCAACATCATGTGACGGGGTTTAATGCTTGGATGCAGAAGTCAAACGGAAAGGATTTGGGGATGGGACGTTTGTGTAAATCTGTCAAAATACTTCTACCACGCAGAAAATATGCTGGAATCAGACTGTGGCTAAAGAATTTGGCTGCTGAAACATAATGCATCTCTACAATGTTGAGATTTTGCTATGCAAATTTAAGCCAAGAAGCTTTTATTCTTCAAGTCTGAAAGATCTGTCAGCCATCAAAAACCTAAATCAGCCCTAGTTTGACATGTAAGGATGAAAGTTTGGGTAGTTTTTTTTTCATAAAGTAACAATGAGAGACATTAATTTCCTATTACACTTTTTAGTCTCCTCTGTTTTCTTCCATAATCCAAACAACAGTTTTATTTAAGGAAACAAAACAACTTTATCTGGCAGCACTGTTTCTCCTTTTCTCTCGGGATGGCCAAAGTCTAAACATTTAGAAAATCAATCAAAAATACAAGGTTCTAATCAATAAGGAATTGCACGTCAGATTACATTACAGGTCCAGTAGACCTACTACAACAAAGGCCCAGGATCCCACTGGCCTCCAGAGAGCAAATGTGAAGAAAATAATCACAGACTTCATAGCCAAGGTATGGCTTCTGAATATATTCTTAAAGGAATTTATTTTACACCTTAGAACAATCCAAAACAAAACAAAACAAAACAAAAAAAAAAACAGAGCTAAAGATTAGGGATGTGGTACATTGGGAATGTATTGAAAACTGTAGTTTACATTTTTTTTGGTGTAAGCTCAGAGAAAAAAATGTTAATACAGTCATTATAATTGCACTTCATAAATCTAGACCGATGCCAGTATTTCTCCACAACAAAGCTCCCCGTTCTCTCATTCTGTCCAGTTAATAAATTCAATTTGCCGCTGAAATTTGACTGACAAAAGAAATGCTAATTTAAGACCAGAGAGCCGCTGCACTGATACAATTTTTCTCACCCGCTCAGGTCCCACAAGGCAACAAAATATTGTGGTAATTTAAGTGCAGTACATTCGGGGAAATCTCACAGTCATAATGAATATTTCACCGCTCTGAATCGTCAAAGTTAAGACTGGCCTGAGCCAACTGCACCCCCACCCATAGCTGAAATGGGTAACAAAGAAAAAAAGACAGGGGATGATTGTTTTAGTTTTGTACTCGTTTGCAACAATAAAGTACCCCAAAAGTACGATCTAATTTGTTTTCACAGCTGCTGTAAGTGCAGCAATAAAGGAGTCAAATGACTCCACCTGCACAGAAAATCTAAAGCCTCCAATAAAAAGGAGCAAGTTATCTCCTGTACATAACTCAGTCATAATGTTTGTCATAATGTTTATGGGACTGCAGAATCAGTCGGTCAGTCTCACTGGAAAAGTCTGGTAATCACACAATGAAATGAAAAAGTCTGAGGATTTTGAAGAACGCAAACTAAGAAGGTACAAACACACATGCACTCTGCCGCATACACGCTTCAACATACAGCACCTTGTAAAGGCATTCCCTTTAACATTAAGACCATTTTACGTGTTACAAACACACATTTCAAGGCGTTTTATTGAGATTTTATGTGATAGATCAACACAAAGTAGAGCATGACTGTGACGTCAAAAGAAAAAGGTCAAATATTCTTGTGTTTAATTCCATTTCAGTGTACGTCATCTGCTCAAGACCTCATAAATGAGTTTTTTTTTTTTAGAACATTTGAACACAAACATGAAGACCAAGAATATAGCAGACAGGTCAAAGAATGAGTGATGGGCAATTTAGATTACAAAACAATATTCCTAATTTGCAAAGAGTCAGAGGACTGAGCAAATACGAGTAAATACGAGATCCAAGTTAATTCTGGAGGAGCTGTGGGGATCAAAATTTGGTAACAAGACAATTATTAGACATGTGCGCCACAAACTCTGTGTAAGGGTAATGAGAAGAAACCCTTTGCTGAAAAAAAGAGCAAAAATAAATCTCATCTGCAGTTTGCCAGAAGCTGTGTATGACACAATAAACATGCTCTTATGGTGGCAGCTTCATCATATGGGCATGGACAGAATAAGTATAATTTATTTGTAATAATAAAAAAAGTAAAACCAGTTCTCAATTAGGCACAACTTTGTGTTGATCTGAAACATGAATCAAAATAAAACCTCTGAGATTTGGGGGTCGACCAGTTAAAAAAAGCGAAAATGTCAAACGTCCCCTTTACAAGCCACCGTACACATAAGGTTATATCTGTTCCCTCCTAGTCACATTCTTCACTGTAACATTTCTTTTGTTTTTCGTATTTTTTGCAATGTTTTTTCTTTTAAATAAGTATTTTGAAATTTATTGTCGGTTCCAGTGTTGGTTAGGAAAAAAAAAAAAAAAAGAAAGAGCTCTCCGTTCAGGTTCTTCCAGAACCAAAGCAGCAACTCTGCCTCACATCAGAACATAAGAGACTGCAGCATCAGCTTGAGGAGGAAAATTTAAATCATAGTGACGAAAAAAGGAAAACAATAGAATAAGATAAAAAAAAAACACAGTTGAGACACTTTTCCTTGTAGCAGCCAATACATGTAATATACCTACAAATATATCAAACAACAAAAAATAGGTTCAAGTTTTTCAAGTTTCTTAAATATATCATATCCAAACTACCCAATTTCAAACTTCAAAGTTAACAAAATTCAAGCAGTGCAATTAATTTATCAATTATAACAGCAACAATAACTAATATTGTACAACCCTTTTAGATTCAACCTGGTGATCCTTTTTATAAGAACACCCTAGAACTGCTAGTAATCCTCTGTTTTTTTCAGCACTTTTCTGTACGCATGTACTGTTACTGACTTTTGGGTTTTAAAAGCAGCCCTAAGCGCTGGCCCTTTAAGACCATTTCAGTGACAACCTACACAGTAGCTTCATCCTTAGTATTTGGAGAGGAGATACAAGTGGCGTATGCACTTCATGTCAAGCTATGATTCTCATCAAAAAAACTGTTTAAGAAGATAAAACAACAAAGCAAAAAGAATAAAATAAAATAAAATATTAATCCAAAAATCCTATTGGCAAACCACACAATGGAACATCAGGAGAATCTTGGAATCCCTTTTCCATCCCGCTGGCAGTAACTACTACCTTTTGTGTTAGGGATCCCCCACAGCCTGCTTTGAAACCAGAAAATCTGCGGTTACACAGCACAGCAACTGCTCTTCTCTAAGATGCCACGATCGTTAAAGCTGTGGCACTCAAACAGTCCCGTAACATCTCTGTCTTGATTTTCTTCATAAATTCACAATTCTTGATTAATTTCCTCCTCTTCTCCCTCCCACCCGTCCGTTCTATCTGTAAACAGGAAGGCGGATGTGTGCATGCTGGTGGTCCAACAGCCGCGGCACCGACACAGTCTCGTACCCTTTGCCGAGCATCTGCTCCTTGATGCAGGGCGGGTGGATGTCGTTGATCAGATACTCCAGAGACTGCAGGCTGCTGCTCAGCACTGAGGTGTTGCACAGGCTCTTGCTGGGCAGGCTGCAGCACAGACCCCCACCGCTGTCAACGGCAGGGTGGTGGTGGTGATGGTGGTAGTGGTGATGGTGATGAGGGTAGCCCATTTCTCGGTGGCCTGTCGCCGGGCCTCCCGCAGAGGTGCCCAGCAGCTCCTGGGGGTTGTAGCAGTCACTGTCGGGCGTCACCAGCACACTGTTCCACGGTGGTGCAAAGTACTGACCCACTGAGAAATTCCCGTGCATGCCCACACAGTTCAAAGGGGAAGAGCTGACTTTGTCAAGCCCGCCCCCACCGCTGGCACTCGCTGTCAGGTGGTAAGGTCTGGAGGAGGAGGAGGAGGACACCTGGGCTGCCATGATTCCCCCACCTGGAATACAGGTTTCGGGGGACTTACTGATGGCGCCCCCTCCGCCGCTGCCTCCGCTGTACATGCGGAGGACGGCCTGCTGTTGTTGCTGCTGTTGGTGTTGCTGCTGTTGTTGTTTCTGCCACAGGATGTAGTCCATACCCTCTGCATACACGCCGCTTTTCATTACTTCTGCACTTTGCGCTGGCAGCCCTGATCCCGTGTACACCATGTTAGCCTGGGGACCCATTCCTACGACATAGCCTCCACCCGAGGAGCTCGAACTGACCCCCATAACTGCTGTGACCTGCTTGGAGGGGCTGGAATTTGTTGGTGCAGTGGAAGCCCCCTGACACACCTGCTGCAGGGCCTGAGCCTGGCAATGTTGGTTGATCTGATAGATGATACTCTGAATGGAGGGGAGATTAGACTGTGCAGGCAGGGACAGACCTCGGCCCCCGGTTACAGGAATCACAGAGCCAGCCACAGTGACATTTGGGGGTACTGAATGTCCAGAGCCTTCTGGAGGCTTTGAGGGCCCAGAGTGGTATATCATTTGGCCATGACTGCTGGCTAAAGTGCTACTATTGGGGGGTGGATAGGGGGCCACAGCTATGTGAGCTGGAGAGAGCTTAGTTCGTCTGCCTTCTGAGTTCTTGAGAACACCTTTGGAATGACCAAAGGTGGATGATGATGATGATGAGGACTTGACAATGGCAAGGAGACCCTGGTACCCTCCTGTGTGGAGATGAAGGTAAGGGCTGTAGCGCTGCCCTGTGGTATCATATCCGTTCACAGTCCGGTTAAGGTGCTTGTGCTGGGGAACCCTGATGTTGGTGGGGAAAATCTTGATGGACAGTGGGCTGTTCGCCGTCTTCTGAGCATAAGCATCGAGTTCTGCTGCTGTAGGGTACCGTGAGGAAGGTGAAGGTACCACCAGGTCACCTGAAAGACAAAACAGAACAAAAAAAAGTAAGAACACGTGCAGATCTCAAGGGGACAAATGCAGAAAAATGCTGAAGTGAGATTTATTTTTGAACGTTGGGAAATTTTGTGACCCCAAATTCCTGTGAGGTACTACTGAGTCAATAAAAATAATGATATAATGACAACCCAATCAACAGCCAACATATTGCTTTTGTGAACTGATTACCCTGCTAATAGCAGATTGTTGTGCTTGCATATGCTGTATAAATAGCTAAAATATTTTGCACTGTAAGCAGATTTCCTTGAAAATGGCTGTTAAATGTACAAGATTTTTGCAGCTGCTGGAAGATTTCTTTCTGTTTTCAATAAAATCCTCAGATTATATTGCAAATTTTTGTTTGAAAAGTGTATGTGATAGCATTTCTACTTACATTATGATACAGTGAGAAGCTCATATCTCGTCGGAATCATATAAAAGAGAAATTTGCGAGCCATGAGGCATCGTATTATGTTAATTACAGATCTATAAAACAAAGGTGCACAAGCAACAAATGGGCTGCAAAGTTTTTCAGGCTTGGCATGTTTTATGAATTTTAAGACCACCGTCTCGAGAATTTTATTAAGCAGATACACTTCAGTAGAACCCAAACATAGTTATAAAGCAGCAGATGAGGACTGGCATTCATCAGGATGCTCCTTCTTTCTTTCCATCTCATTTTCACATCCTGATGTGGATGTACATCCCTAGACAAATGAATCTTTTTAAAAACTCATTCTGTCAGAGCCTGCTACCTTAGGCGCTTGTTAAATCAGTGCATTGTGGAATTAATTTGGACTCTCTTCAGTGCTGAATTGGGTTAGCCTTGGTACCAGGCACGAAGGGAGGAAAGGGGAGGGAATAAAAGCTTGTTTAATTGAAGTGGCACATTTTAGATTTATAAGTGGAATCACTTACTGGGTCTTACCCTTGGCAACTGAGTTTTCTCATTCATTCAATCCAGCAGAACTGGGTGGAGAGACCCCCACAAAGAACCAATTAAAGGTCAACTGGGACTTGCAAACTTGGTTAAGGAGAATTGGACAAAATATAGCCCAATAATGAATGATCAAGTGATGATTTTTTTTTAACAGAAGTAGGTAAATTGAATTTTTAAAATAGACAGAGACAGCTTTGTTGAAAAAGACACCATATTAAAGTTCAGTTTCTTCAAAACACAGCTTGAAGACCTTAGTTGTATTTAAGCATCCAAAATGACGTCATCATACTCCTTAAACAAATGTCTCAATCAAAAAGTGCATCCTAAATCAGATTAATTGTGGAAACCGATTAGCTATGAGTTACACTCTTTAGCTTAGCTGCTCTTGGCAATCTGTCTGTTTTTTGACATCGGTCTGAGGAAAGTTGAGCTCTTTTTTTCAGCTGTGAGATGTTTCACGGTTTTCTTGTCCATTTCAAGTCATCTGAAAGATTTGGTTCATAACTTGGTTCAGGACTTTTTGTGAAGTTTCTTGTATGTCATTGTCATTGTAAGATTCCAGCTGTGCTTAAGACTGAACTTTTTCACACATGATTTTTGTTTCAAGGACCGTGTAGTTTTTATGGCAGGGTCTGCAAGGGTGACCTAACCAAGTCCTGCAGTAGCAAAGCATCCTCAAACCATGACACTTTCACCTGCGTACCTTACAGGTGGTATGATATTTTCTGTTCAAATATGTCCTCTGATCTGACCTCTAAATATTTTAGATTTATAAGTGGAATCACTTACTGGGTCTTACCCTTGGCAACTGAGTTTTCTCATTCATTCAATCCAGCAGAACTGGGTGGAGAGACCCAGTTGAGTGTAAACTCATCTGTCCAAAGAACAGGAACAGTGCTCACCTCTGTCTCTGTTCTCTAGTGCAAACATTAGTCTGGACATTATGGATGTCATTTTTGAGAGAAAACATTTCCACCCCTTTTCTGCACAATTTAAAGTTGTGCTGTTGCTTTGTGATTTTATAGGGATACACTTTCATAAAAAATCCCTAATAAAAAAGTCATGATTTAATTATGTGCACCTGATGTGATAAACCTGTGTAATTCCAACCCTCTGAATAGAAAAAAATGTCAGGATGTCCCAATTTCTTCCTTGCCAGAAATAACAATTCTGGCAAGAAATATTTAACACTTTTTTCTTCATTTTCTGAGCTTTGTTGAAATTGATATTAAATATGCCCAAACATATGAGATAAAAAGATAAATGCTGTCATAGGACACTTTATTTTTTTCTTTTATGACTGCACCTTCCAAAATGAGTCCTGCAGGAGGAAAATCTATTATTTCAATTACGAGCACAGACTAGCATAAAATTGACCTTAACATGCATCCGAGATTAGCTTTAAAATATGAAACAGAGAAAAGCCGAACATATAGCACCGTTAGGAGATTCGCTTTAAATCTATATGTAAATGCTCTGCTCTGTTTGAGCAAATTCTCAAATTCTATCCCGCACCGAAGGCTCAGAGAAGACTGACAGCAGTTCTTGGTCAGTGGACCAGTCCTTGGCCACAGTACGATGAGGTAGCAAACAGGAAAAATTGCAATTTCTAAAAAGCCCACCATGTGTCATTGTCTGGGGGCTGGGCACGGAGGTGAGGGGCTGCGGTGAGATTGGATTTAAATGACATTATTCAGGCAATTTCATGGCTACTTAGCTCAGTATAACAAAAAGCGTGGGGGTTGGGGAAAGGACTCAATTTACAAACAATATATCAGCTGCCACAAATGACTTGCAACCTCTTCAAAAATGACATTTCGATGCAAAAAAAAAAAAAAAAAGCTCAAAAATTAACCACCATAACAACAGTCAGCAAATGTCCCGGCTACCTGAGGCGTCTGTGACCGGGACGCAGTCCATTTCCTTTCCAATAGCAAAACCACTTTAAAGAAACTCCACAGCCAAGTAGTCACAATTCTCATTTCTTTGCTCCCATTCCAGATATCATGGGGAGTTCATTTCTACAACCCTTTGGGACTCCAACTGTGAAAATGATTAAATCTACAAGATCCATATCATAAAAAAAAAATGAATTAGGCTGAATGCTGTGAATATCCAAACTAAATTTATGGACAGACTGGTCCAGTGGGTTCATCAAAACATACACTCTGAAATTCACACAAAAATACATCAGATTTGACCTTTAACCAACACAAAATGCTTTTCCCCAGGTCTTAGAGAAAAACAAACCATTGGTTGTATTTAAATTCAGCAAAGGGTTCAAGACACATTTGGAAGTGCATATTGCTGATGAGCTGAGTTCCGACGCCAGAACCAACAATTGCTTGTCTCAGAGAAAACCCCCAACCAAAACACAGTTTTTTCCAAGATTTCTGGCATGTCAAGCGAAAAGACATGAGCAGACCTTCAGTTTCTGATTTTGGAAGGTTTTCAATTCTTTCTGTTCTCTAGACCAAAGAAATTTAGAACTGAGAAGGTTAATTTAAAAAATGTACAAAATGTGCGTGTGTCTTTTTTTCCAAAAAGAGAAAAAAAACACATGCAAACTACAGGGATGTGTAAGTGACAGCAGGAATGTTATGTGAAAGAAGAAAAACCAAAGGGATATGAACATTTATTGAATTTGAGTTTGTTGGGAGCATTGATGGTTATTCAGTCTAGCAGCTGCTGGGTGGAAAGACCTATGATAATGCTCTCTTATGCAACAAGAGTAAATATCATTTGATAAAATTATACAGCAAGAGTGGCCAATAAAACCCATGAAAAATGTTATGCCTTTATAATCAGTTTTATCCTAAACATTCATTCCTTTGTAAAATTTATTATAAAGGAATAAATTTGTAATAAATCTATTACAAATCATAACAAAGATCATCTTTGTTACGATCTGAACAAAGACATTGTTCATTTCCACTGTCGCCACATGCCTGCTAAGGTGGGTAGATTTCTGCAGAATCAGTGACTTTATAAAATCAGCTGATTTCTTTGATATAAGTAGAATCACAGTGAAATGTATGTAAATGAAGTGAATTGAGTCTTTTTGGCTGTGTTCACCTGATTTTTGTGAATAATCTGCATCTGTTTGCTGTGTAAAGTCTCTCGAGATCACATTTGCTGTGAATTGGCTCCCTGTAATACAACTAAACTAAATTGATTGGTTCATATACCGTAATAGCATAACCAGACTAAACCTTCAGATCTGTGAAAGCGCACCAGTAACAGTAAATAAACTTTAATCAGATTGAGGATGACATCCTAATGGGCTGGTATGAGTGTGCCAGACCCACCAATCTGAGGTCTAACCAACCTCGGTGAGGCGCAGCCCTGCTTCCCCCGGTGACAGCAGTGTCATTTGCTTTGATGTTCTGACTTGCAGAGGAAACTGACAGAAGACTTATTTCATTTGCTCAGAAGAGAGAGAGAGAGAGAAAAAAACATGCTCGTTTCAAAGCATATTGCGGGTCCACATGCAAATGGAAAGGCAGCATTTTTTTTTCTGATCTTCTTTACACGAGGGCAAGAAAAAAAACATCTTTGATCATCACATGGTCTAAATGAGGAAAGATATTTGGCTTTCAGGCATATCAAGGGCCCATGCCCTGCCGCCCCTGCGAGCCCCCAGCTGCAATATGCCCATCATTTCACCTAATTACTGCCACATGAGGAAAAAAAAAACTCTAAAAAAGCCAGGAAATTCATTAAAGGGTAGCTAATTCTATTCCTTCTCACTCACTGAGCTCTATATTTTTCATGCCTGTGCCTGTGTTTCTTCTGAGCGAGAGGAGACAGCCCCTCTCGCTTCGTCTTTTCCCAGCTTGGCCCTTGTTTGTCAATAGGCAGAGCCTTTGGCACACCAACCTGGCATCAAAGGGCTTCACACTTCACAGGCCACAGGGATTAGAGGCCTTTCAGGCCTACAAAACCCATCTCAGCTCCACAAAGGCTTCCGGTTATTAGAACCCACAAGCATAAAGCAACAGGAGGAGGAGGAGGAGGCAAATGAGCATCTGGATGCTTCTG